GGGATTTTATAAAGAAGGCAGTAACTACTAGCAGTAAAATGAGGTATCCACAGTTAATATGTCCCGAGTTGAAGGCTTAAGTTAACGAGATATGGGGGGGGGGGGGGGGAGACATTTACAAAGATTGTCGTCGTTGTCTTCATTGCTGAAAGGTGTAATAGTTTCCAAGTCATTGCATTATTACTGGCAGGGAAAAAACCAACTTGAAAAGTTAATTGACAGTAAGATTAGGCGACGAGCATATTCATCAGTAGGAGGAAGAGGGTGAAGGATGGGTTTCACACAGACGCAGACGGCAAGGTTGGCACAAGTCGACACCGTGTATGACGTAAGGCACAGTGTCGATTACAAACGGGACTACACTTAGATAGGAAGGTAAAGTCGCAATAGAACTCCCCCATTGTCTGTGTGTTTGACTCTTAGCAAGTCGCAAGGGAGGTAAATTAGGCGGGCGTTGAATGATTGATGGTGCGTGGGACATCAGAGGCTAACTGAAGGTACCGATTTACCAGATTCATTCTTGTCTGATCATCGTGTATACTTAAACAGAATCCCCATGTCTCTACACTTGAGGAGTAAATTTCACCTAGGGGCACAAAGAATGTATTTCTTGACCTGATATCACCTTAATTAGTGCCTAACAATGACAAGTGTTGGCGTGCACACAAATCTACAATGTTTGACCAAATCGACAATAATAGCTCAGGTAATGATTATGAGGGTGGAAAGGGAGAGAAAGATGATGATGATAATAATGATGAAAATATAGTGTCAAATTAAAAAAAAAAAACTAACACTCGGTCGAGAAATCCTCCAGCCCGAATAGAGACAGGATGAAGCATTAGCATAGCCGTTGGATTTCATAGACTCGACATTTGAATAACTGTGGCGGTAGTTTATTTCCTCGCTTTTAGGAACTGAGGAACGTCTAGAAGGAGGCTTGTTATATGCCCTAGTGGGACTGTGATTAGTCTCCATTCTCGAGGTTGAGACCAAACTCGAAACGCCGAAAGGAGCGTAGGCCGCCCCCACGTATGGATAGTGGACTTGTAAAAGTCCCTTGGAAGTCTGCATCTCCGATGATGGTCTAATTGGCTTTTCACTCAATGAGGTCTGAACCCTGGGGTAAACTGAAGTGGATCGGATGGCGGCACTTTTCGGGGGCTTCTCTGGTGGTCGGTTAAAGGAATATCGAAATTTAGGATTGAAATAATTGTTTTTCCCAACACGGTTGTGAGGCGTATTTACGGCGGAGCTTTTTACTGGTGAATTGATTTTTGCCTCAAAATCATGCTTATTTCCATTCAAGTGTGGCATTGTTTTATATCCATTCAAGGAGACTGTCTGTAGATATTTCTCAGCTTCGATGATTCGGGAAAATGGACTCAAAAGTGGTGACTTCGGGGGCAGAATAGGAGGACTTTCCTCCCTCTCTATGGAAACCAATCGTGACCTTGAATTACTCTCCACTGATAGGTTGGTATATCCTCCAAAACCAATACCATTAGGAGGAAAAAAACTATTTGACTGGATAGATTGTGGTTTCATGATTTTAGGAGGCTTAGCAGAGATGATTCTTTCATAAGTCGCACTGCGGCTATCAATGTCGGACGACTCCTCCGAATGGATGGAAGGAAAGGAAGAATCGGGAGCCTTTACTGGCCCTCCCGTCAACGGTTTACTACTAGTTGAATTTGAAATGGAGTCCATGTCACTAGTAGTGCCTGAACTGAGCTGTACATTTCCACTTCGAAGATGTGGAGACCTATCCGTCGGGAGTAGAGTGCAACGAGGTGTAGTGACAGAGGTAGATTGACTCGAGGCTTGCTCTAACCCGGACCAGAAGCTAAGAATAGAATGAAATCCCCCTTTGGGCGAGGAAGGTAATTGGGGCGGAGGAATGTTGGCGCTGACACAATCCGGAGAGGTGCACATTTGTGAAATGTTTTGATCACTGTCGTGAAATGTGTCGTTGTAGAGGAAGTGAGGGTTACTATTCCCATTCATGCTCCTTTTTTGTCTCTGCGTGACTGCGGCAATGTCAACGTGGTGCCCTCTGGCTCACCTAGTTTCCCATCAAATGCCAACTTGCAATGCGCTGATGGCGTGTGTGTGTGTGTGTGTGCATATGCAGGTAATAATAATGATCTCATTGGTTTTGCTGCCACGGCAACTAATTGCGTTGATCCAATTAGGCGAAGCCTCCTAAATTCCAATCGATTGAGTGAGCACAGCATTCCGGGTAGAGTGCTAGCACGCACACCTTTGATTGTATCTGCGTTCACGCGCGCGCGTGCGTGCATGCGTGTACGTACCCGCGCGCGCACACACGTCCGCACGCACACCTACCTCTCAGCATTGTCGTTTGAGCCGCATAATTGACAGTGTGACGGGTGTTAGACCGTTCCAGTATAATTCTCCCCCCCCTTCCCCCTCTCTATTTCACTTGCCCTCGACATTTCACCCCTTCAATCAGACGTCTCCCCAAATTGTGCCCCCTATTTAGGGGGCAAATAGTCGATCCCAAAAGAGCACAAAACATCCGCCAAACGAAACCCTTTGGAAATCAAGAATGATTTGACAACATTGCCTAGCTTTGTTGCTAAAATAACACGAACACTGACATTTATTTCAAAAGTAGGGAGTGAATTCAGGGGAAGACATGGTTTACCTCATCTAGAGCGATCAAGGCATTTGAAAAGACGACAACAACCAAGCATTTTTTGGACAGCAGTGAATACTAAAATATACTTATATTTAAAATAAACAAATTTCTTCAAAAAATGCAAATCTGAAAAGAATATTTGCTTTTCTAATTAGGCAAGGGGATAAATCTCCAGTAAACTATCAGGAATTGCACTTTTGTTATGTTGACAAGTCATGGCACAATCTAAATTTACCAATTTCATAATAGAGTTGCTATTTTACCCATTTAAAAGAAAAGAGGGTAAAAATTTTTGATACGGCACACCCGACAATTTCCGATGTGGCAGTTGTTGAAAGGTTAGGAGGTCAAAACACGTGCAACAAGGAATACTACTAACCGTTGAAATATTACTCTCCACTGACCGCCGAACTAAAAGGAGAAAATAGAAAAAAAAAATGAGAATTGGGTGCATTTTTGCAAGGGATTTCATGTTTGTGCCAAAGTGTCACTATTTGTTATTTAAAAAAAAAAGTACACGCATCATTGACCACACGATTAGTGTATTCAATGATCTGGGAGGTACCCAAACAACTGCATGCCCTTCTTAAAACAAAAATCAAATTGATAAAGAAGACTTTTCAACAAAATATCGCTTATTTTTTAAAGTAATTACTAGTACACTGCACCACTCCAAAAATTTTCTGAAAATCTCACTTTTACGCAAAGCTTTCGGCGCTAGAAGCAAAAGCCTCGCCTAATCATCTACTTTTCTAACTCACTTTTATTTCACCTTTTTTCTTAATTACTTTCCTTTGTTTTGCATATGAACATGTGAGTCCAACACTAAATAGGGCGTGAAATATCAGGATGGAGTGGGAAGGTGGAAAATGAAGCAGTATCTTTTTCCCTTCCTCCTTCTCTCCCATCCTCAAGGTGGAAATCTTCCCACGCAGTACGAGATGCTGCCTTCTCCCGTAAGCATTAAAAACTTCTGCCTACTTATTCACTAGTCTTGACGACTCTCAAGACAAACTGCCCCACAGATTGGCGAGTTGTGTTGGTTTGCATCAAGGAGGGAGATGCCAGTTGCAATTCTTTGGCTGTCAGGAAGTGAACGATTCCTTCTGGTGGATCATTTGACAATAACCACTGATGCTCTTGATTGCTTAACAGTGGAATACAAAACCCGACTATTGGTCAGTAAGCAGTAAAAAACGAAGAGTTTTTAAGGCAAGTGGTAGAAGTTGGGGAAAAATTGTCAGTCCTTGAGGCATGTCAAGTGACACCAATTTGTTTAGCTTCCACAGAGTACTCATTTGGGAAAGGTGTAAACACCTTTTTCATCATTACTCACTGTTGACATTCCTTAATTCCTTTTCTAGGAAAAGTTACGGAACATGATGGTCTCTTCTCTCTTGCCTTGGTGTATCCCATCTACCCAACACCCAAATCAACCTGCTTGTTTCAACCACCTCTACTCAGTGCTTCGCACTACCTCTTACTACACCTTTTCCAAATGCCAGACAGGAAGTTTATGTATCTTTGAAACCGGGGCGAATTCGATAAGTAAAGCAGACAGGCTCTAGTCGAGTTCATCATTTTCAGAGCACCTTATGTATGGCAATTCAAAATATGGCGAAAGTAGCATATAGCGCAGCAAAAAGGACATTACACATCACAGAAGTGGTTGCAGCAACCACACGAACTTCCTTTGTCCTCTTAATACTACCTGCACATGAATTTGAACGAAACAGTGAGTGCTTGGAGAGGCTGTGACAAAGAAGGCAACACTTGATGATAGCATGTGCCATCATTAACAAAAGGGAATCACGTCATGGCAATAAATTAGTGAGCTAGTACTATGACTTATCTATGTTTAATCCGATTGGTTGTTGACTTTGTTTTTGAAAGGGAGGCTACGGGTGTGGTTTGGTGGGTTAAAACCATTTAGTAATTTCATACTACATAGTTTAATAAAAACACTGTGTGGAATATATGAGATGGAGTTCTTGGCAGTTATCATGAGACTAGGTTTGAGTAAAATTGCATCTCATTTTCAGGCTTATCATGCAACTACTGGGTACATTCCAGCAAGTTCAGAGGTGAAAGAGAGTGATAGACTGTGCAGTCTTCAACATTGGCTCGCCTGTCCCCCACGGACAACGGCCTCAACCATAGTTTCGTGAGGTGCCGTCTATCCTTCACTTCTTCATCTCCATGTTATGACATGTTCAGCAAGCTGTAAGCTCGAAATTCTTGTCTTAATATCCATCCTAAATGTCACAGCATTAAGACAGCTAGTGTGCATAGCCAGACACTCAAACTCCGTGTTCAACAATATAGCCATTAACTACCAAAGTGAGGTAAGCGACATGTGGAAAAATGACACCTCCTCCGCGTCTTTGGTAGCTGAATACGATCCAGACATACAGCGGGACAACATCGGAATGGTAAGAAAGTGACTATCGAGAAAGATTACTGCGAATAGGATCCGTGAAAGCCTCACTTTTAGGCAAATTTTGTGATGACCAACACAAAACACGTAGGACAGGAAGAGCTGCATGGCAGACCGATGCTTGTGTACGTTATTAGTTCAACGATGCAAGCCCTTCTATCAGGGCAGACTTTTGTAGCCACTTTGGTATATTTGGTAGAAAAAAAGATTCACTTTTTAAGGATTTGTTGGTATTTTTTACCATGTTCTAATGTTACACCTTTCCTCTTGTGCCTTTCCATATCCACGAGCACTGGGAAGTTGCCACGGTTGCACAAAACCGTAAAAATCAGCAGCAGAACCGTAAAACTATCAGTCTGCGCCTAAACAATTAATCAGGTTAGATTTGCCTGACGGTAATTTTAGCCTACTCAGTACTGACAAATATGACAAATCCACTTCACATCGCCTGGAGTGCCGAGGCAAGTCATTAAGACAAACCATAAAAAAACACTTCAGATGAAGGTTATAAGTCATTCATTAGAGAATTACTGTACTGGAGAGAAAAAATTACTTAAAAATGAGCATGCTTCTTTCACCTTTCTTTTCTTTGGACTTTTATGAACACGTTTAAAGTCGCTAAGGTGTGTCATTTCAAGACTCTCCGTGTATAGTGCTTGGGGATTTTATCAGAGCATACTTTAGCTATACAGGCTTTTTAATCTTTGTAGATTGCATCTCCATTGGGATAAAGCTTGCTACGAATGCGCGAAAAACTTGAAATGCAACGTTGGTAACAGTGGCAAGCAAAGTGGATTCACTATCAAGCCTGAGCGTCATTTCAGATGCCCAAATCTACAAAGAAAGGCCCTACATATTTGGTCGTCGCTTCAATTTCGCTTTCCACAAGAAGGCAACTGGTAAGTGACGTGATCTCAAACTTAAGCAATTTCAAACCGTAGAGCGTGGAGGTGACTACGACCCTTGTTATGAAGATATGAGAAATGCGTAAATGAATGACACCGCATACACGTTTCTGGCACCTGAATGGAATTGTGATAGGTGATGGGAAAGGAATGAGAAGAGAGCAAAGTGACAAAGATTGAAGAGTTGCATCAACGACTTTGGGATTAAATGTCCTTCCGCCCCCGCGACAGTTTATTAGCTATCGTTTCCGATTCATGAGTATTTTTGAGGTTTTGCCAACCCCATGATGGCTGAACCAGAAGTGTAATAGGCGGGGGCGTGGGAGACGACTCCTAGAAGGAGAAGGAGGCTGCAGAGTGACTGCATAGACTATTAAATCTCCACATATCATTTAGCTGGTCGCCACCAAAGCTGTCAAGTCACACTGACGGCCTCCTAGATCATCTGTGCGTGGGTAGTGAACCTTCTACCACACTGGCATGGTTTATTACGACTTTGGAAAGAATTTGGTACGTTAAATATGCATTAAAGAGAACAAAATTCACAACTAACAAAACGTACTACTTTTATAATGACAGTAGCAATAGTTGCTATGTAGAAGGCATTCCTTTGACACATTTGGAGTAAGCATGTGAATTTCCTTATTTAAATTTAAAAGGAGAGAATAAATGTGTTCTATAGAGCGAAGTTAAAATTAAAAAAATGCAAGTATGATTTGGAAGTGTTTATTTAAGATTGCAGCTTCAACCTGAATCAAATGGTGGTAAGTGGCATGCAAGAAATTTCTATGAATGAAAACCGAATTTATGTGAGGAAAAGAGGAAAATTTACGAAAAATATTAGCAAAAAAAAAAGTCCGTTTACGGAAACAAATCTTATGATTCTAAATTAGGCCATATTTATTCCGCAAAATTGGGTCAAACAACTATACATTTAAAAATGTATTATTTATCTTAATAAATCCTTAGTGAGTAAATTTTAGAAACTGTTCGATCAAGCTAAGAGTTATTTGCATTTGAAAACGATGGCGTTTTAAAAGATTTCCTCAAAAGTGGGTGAAAAATCCGTTCTAACACGCCCACTACCGGGATCCCCCTTAAAGGCAACTCGGCCACGGCAACCACCCAGAAAAAATGAGGATTTTCTCCTCACACCAAGAGCATCCTACGTCTCCTTACTATGTTGTTCAAAGCTCAACCAATGCGTACCACCAGTTATCATGAACTAACATAGAACGCACGCCCCATCTTTTTTATCCATGTGCTCATGTAGAAAATTTGTCCAGTCTCATTGACACAACTCTGACAGGAACGCATGGTTGGACGCCCATTCAGCACATAATAGTAGCTGAAAAGGCAAAAATCCATTTTCATAAGAGGATGGAGCCCGCAGTTCGTGAGTTCCCCTTGAAGATTAACTATTGCAGTCTCCCAAGCTAGCAACACATCTTCCTCCATGGAGGTGCGACTTATTGTCACCTCAGAGAAGACTCAGTACGCGACTTATGCGTCTTGTCACAGTCAAGAAATTTCACGAGGCATCTGTCACTACATGAATGGCATTTACTATTGACCTCTAAATGTCTTTCCACCACATTTTAGAAGCGTGGAAGCTGTTAACGCTAACTGTCTGCTGCCGACTTCAGTGATTTTAAAGCATATCTTACACGACATGATTTTAGCAAAGTTATTCGTTGCAGTCGAATTCACTACTGGGATTCTTTTTAAATAGGGAATAGCAGTGCCACTGAAGATTTATTGTGCTTTTTGATTATGATTTTATTCACAATCGGATAATAGAAAGGAATTTTGTTGCTCCATTTTATATGCATCACTTCATAGTGGTGTATTGGGAGAAGTAGAGTCTCCGAAAGCGGCTACCTTGGTTTCAGAATACATCACACAGGGTCAAGCTTGACCCTTATCTAATAACCAAGCTGTTAAGAGCCAACTCAATGGGTGACCCTCTGCGATAAGTTCGCATTCTTAAATGACTATATAGTTTGTAAACTCAAGAACTGCCTACCTGAGGGCGACTTTTCCTCATTAATTTTAGGCGCTAGACTCATCCCCGCCCGTGAGTTCTGTCTAACCTCTTCAGAAAGATGGTCACCAGGACGATTGGGAAAAAAGGCAGTTGGACGCTGAAGTACGACATCTTCGCGAGTGGTTGTGGCACCTTTGGATCCCGTGTCTCGCTTCTTTTGGAGATTCTTCTCTGGAGATGATTCGTTGATTGACGGGGAATCATCGGCCTTTCCTTTCTCTTTTTTAGGCATCGGTGATGTCTAACATTGAAGCAAAAAAGGAAGGGAGAGTGTTGGCACGCCCAAATGGTTTACCCTCACAGCTATCCAAAAAGGCGTTCAACCGTAGTGGTAACTTGCAGGTGTGTTCTATTACCAATGCCAATTGCTGGGTCAGTTCTGACAACGCTTACTAAGGGGCTAAACAACTGCGCTGGTGAGCACGTACATGTCACGTGTTGTAGATGACAAAACAAGTGTCTTGACAACAATATCGGAGGTGTGAAACCTCCAAACACAGGGCAGTAATTGACATGATGGACGGCTCGGCCAATCAGGGATAAGAAAATTAAAAGATACCGCCATTTCGAAGTGACCATCCCGGATGTAGTAGTTCCGTTACCAGACTACAACCCAGCACAGTCTTACCTGCAAGCATTCAGCTGGTGCCTGGAGCACCTAATCCTAAGTAATGTATGCATAACCCATCGTGTAGCTAAAATGTTTCATGGGAACGGAGAACACAATCGTTCACAAGCATGTGGAATTTCGAAAGCTTGGCACACATATTTACACGCACACTTTGACCACCAAAACAGCTTTTCGCTTCTTGCCAGCTCAGGAGAGTTGCATGGCACGCTGAGTTGAAGGAGCACATTGACAGGAGAGGTCAGAATTTTGCGGATCACATCATTACACTTGGCAAAATCTCACTCCGATTGATCCTTACCTATTGGATGGTTCAAGCGGATTAGGAGCCAAAACCGCGTCTCAAGTATTAGTAAATTAATGTAGTAGGAGACTGATTGGAAGATGACTAGAGGTCCAACGCCTAAACGCTTATAAAACCAAGGATTCATCAAAACCTCACTTTGTACTCAATGCTAAAGTGAGCCTGTTCTGCGGCTTGACTTGAGAGTTCCATATCGACACCTGCACCTCGATGCTTTACATAAGATAGACTCGGCGAGGTTATGGATGATCATATGCGGAAGAATGAAGTAGGATCTCAAGCAAAAACCGACTCTAATACACTTTTCTAATTTAATAGCCAGTTAATGAGTAAAATTTGAAGGTATTTTGCGTCTTTACACTCAATGAAACAGCAGTAATTACTAAATTTTATGATCATAATAGATAAGTCTGAAATAGTTTCAGTTTTCCTTCAATACAGTACTTCTTGAAATAGGGGATAAACGTGATAAAAAAGGAGTGTTTGTACTTTAGAAGGAGTGCATTTTTAGGACTCTAATACGGATCGTCATGAATCAATTTGTGGATACCTCCAATGGCAATGGAACTGGTACAGGATGAGGATCGTGATGCTTTCAAACAATTATAAAAGTCAAATTTACAACTTATGGACGACATTTTACATGGCAACTCTGTATAAATAAGTGAATTATCAAGAGGCCTTAAACAGCTGCACAAGTAGGACCAAGAACTGGCACTTGAATAGGGGAACACGTAGGATGTATTTAGCGGGTGTATACGAGACCAAGAGAATAGACTTTGGGGGATTCAAGAAGAAAAAGTGTGCTTAGTTTGAAAACATGTACACAGATTGAGAAATTACTTCATTTTGCTGCGATTCAGTATCAAATGCGCTCCCAAAAGACTTGAAGAGGTCTGCCACATCCCGGAAGGGAGAATAAAAGTGGCTATGGTGTACGATTATCATAGCAAGAAGTACAAAGTGTGGCTTCAATAAATCTTCGTTTTCTGAGCTAACAGTACATGTGGTAGGTGCTGTGAACAAGTAGATTTAAGGCCGGTGAGAATCGCCACTAGGCTGTGCAACGACATCTACAAATGTCCACTTCAATTAAGCATTCTTTGTAAAAAAAGAAAAAACAAATGTAGACAGGTGTAAAATTGCTGAATGCTTCAAATTAAGTGAAAAAGTGTGATAAAAAGAGATTCCTATATAACGATGATGCTTCCCGCTTATTAGAAGTTGCCTTACCAAAATTCACCAATGGGATTTGAGCTATTCGATGGGTTGTAAGAAGGCACTGTAAGCAACTCAAAACGCACCCTGCAAACAATCCGTTTAGAAAAACGATGTGATCTTTTCTCGGGATTTTTGAACCTCTTCGGAGGAGACATACTGGTAGGCTGCGCCTGCGATTGTGTGTGTGCATGCAGGCGGAGGTTTTTTTTACTCAAGTCGGTGGTGTTATGAGATTGTGGAGTCGCTGTCTCTTATAGGCTGGTAGCCGCGCGTGAGTGTGTCTTATGCTGAGACGATTGTGTATGGGTGTAAGAAGTAGCAACCACTAGTAACAAATGCCCTTCATTTTTAAATTTCCATTAGGCCGATTTAATGTCACGGCAACAAGCTGAAGGCGTACTGTCGCTAGGGATTAGGTGAATACCCATTTAAACAAACTATCTCCTATAAAAATCTCCGCTAAAAATCGAATAAACGGATAAATGAATGATAATGGGCACATATTAAAAGGCAACATACTTGAGGAGGAGTATTTTGATTGTCTGTAGCACTCGATTTGATTTCTCCTTCCAAATCCCAGTTATGTGATGGAAGTAATTCGTAGTCCTTTACCTAAAAGGAAATGACAAACTTGATTCACAAAACTTCCTCAGAACTTCGAGTAGACTAGTAGGCCTTCTCTACCCTGGAAAGCGGTGGTACAGAGGATCTGAACTTCCGAGGAAATGCGCGATCATTCTTGCCAACAACGACCGGTTTCGTCTCAGTTGAAGGTAGACACTGAGGTCCGTTTATATCATGGTCAGGTGTGGAAGTCATGTGCAAATCCGTCGATGAGTTCTTCGGCAACGGAGAGGCCTCATCCAACAATGAAGGCACACTTTGCACGCCGAGACTATCTCCCGACTCGTAGGCATTCAGCCGACCCACTGATTGCGTTCTCCCCGGCGCCGCAATGCTACGACGACGACTAAAACGGCGGCTTACACCTCTGCTTAAAAGGAAAGAGGAAAGTGGTAATCGTTCTCCGGGTGGTTCATTCACCATGCCACCAATCAGTCTGGCTCGAATCGAGATAAAATGAAGCCAAAGCATGACCGATCATTTTACTAAGCCAAACCTCAAAGCAATGCACGGAAAAAGTGTCCAACCGAGGTGGGTGTGTAACTTACCGCAAAAGCCTAAAAAATTTAAGCAATAAAACCCATGACACACAAGATCTCCAGGGCGGCCAGTTGAATAATTAGGTCTACGTAATTATCACTAGTAGCGAGGTGATATACACCTGAAAAATCCTTGTTCAATACTCTTGGAGCGCCGACGCAGTTCCAGCAGCGTTGACATGGTGCGCTCCAGACCGACACCGGCTGTTCCCGTGCTGAAACTACGATGAGATGTAGTTCCACGCAAGCGAAAGAAGCGTGAAAAGCCGCTGGGAGATGAGGCGGAGGGGGAGAGATGGGTAGTTGTCGAGATAGGTGCGCCTTGAAAGCCGCCATTAAGAGTGGGGAAAGCGTGTCCACTAGAGACAGGCTCTCTGACACGAAAGAAGGCATGGCAGGTCACTGCAGACTGCCAGAAGACTTTGGCGCGTTTAGCAGAGTCGAAGAAGTAGGTAAAAGTGAAATTTTGCTTGCCATTCGCAGCACCTTGGGAGGTTTCAAGCGTAGCGTCCAATTTTGACAGGCTGGCGGGCCGCTGATGGGAAAAGATGGTAACAGTTAGACAATATCAATGGAACTGGCTTCCATGACCTCATATTTACTTATGGAATTACATCTTCCTTCGAAAATTTAACATACTTATGATTTTTTTGTTCTTTCGTCTATGCCAATAGTCGCTTTGCCTTTCTATGGGTCGGTAATGAGCCTTCCCTCATATTTACATCTTAATGGATGACCCGGAGGGCTGCACACCTACAATGACTCATGATATCTGGAAGATTTCAAGCACAGATTCTTTAAATGGGGACAAGAGATAATCTCTAGATGTATGCGTCTAGTTGAATTAATACTGGAACGTGAGTTTCTTTGACCTTACTCACCAAAATTAAATTTGCATTGGCAGCTTCTGCAAAGAAACGTGGATTTAGCACTTGGAGCGAGCGTTATAGGTGCATACTCCATTTCATGTCATTGATAGGCATGAATTAGCACGGTTTTACTCCCCAAGTCTGTCTCAGCGGGAAATCGTGTACTAGTATAGCCATTCGGACGTTTGGGCACATTAAAAATGGAAATGTCAGTAATTCTTTCAACCATTGCAACTGTTGCTGAAAAGCCAAAATCCGATGCAGTTGGCCCCTTTAGACTGAGAGGATGCTACAGTTAACTTGTTTTTCTCAGTTCAACTGACCTAGTTGCGAGATGATAAAAGAGGTTATTAAAGAAAGCAGTTTGCATACACGTTATTCTTCTGAAAAATATGCCAACACATTTGACGAATCATTCGCCATTCCCACTACTTTTTGGCTGATAACCTCTACTAAAGCAAAACAGAAAAGGACAAATAATGGATATAGCCAAAAAGTTCATTTAATGATTCGAGAGGCGGTGGAGATTTGCCAAAGTATTATCTCATCTGGTGAATGGACTGGAAACCTCTAACCCCACCCATAGTAGTTGTTACTGAACCACAATTCAGAATAGCCAAAGGATGATCACAAGAAATATCCAATTGGGTCGTTTCTAAGACGACCAAGAAGGTAAGACCATTGTTAATTCGATTTAAGGCAGCATAGGACCAACTTCACAAGTGATAGGATAAAACGATATTGTAACCTCAAGGGGAAGTCTGTGATAATATGGCTGAAGAAAAACATTTTCTCACCCCTGGATTAGAATAAATGCTAGTGTCTATAAGGTGCTTCAGGTATCTTGCAGTCAATGGTTTATAAGTTAGCCGGAGAACTTGTGCGTTATTTTGGTTCACATGATAGATCGCTGAACTCCATTAAAGAAGAGAGAGCTGAGTGTCAGTAATGTATAAAGTAATCCGAGATCGACTTATCAAGAACAATATGCAGTATTGTTCAACGTAAGCAATGTAACAGCTAACTCACATCTGCATCAGCTTTGAAACTCATGAGTTTAACAGATAACAATACGTTATAAAGACGAGGCATGCATCTTAAACTGTTTGCTGACTGATTAAGCGACTAAATTCTGATAAGAGATGGCTCTTTTAATTTCGTGTTTCAACATTGAATGAATAAAAGTGCCTTTGGTTTTTCCAAACGATCTGGTCACCATCTATCCTGCACCTTGAAAGCATGCACTGCTTCATTTTCGGAAGGCTTTGTCCGTTTGCTAATGACCAAAAAATAGGACTAAGAGCTATCCATTGGATCTGGCAAAACCCAAATGTTTTTAAGAAAACGCTTTTGGAAGTAATTAGGGGGAATTCCAAAAGTGATTTGGTACACGGAAGGCATGGAATTAATTACTTTGTACTATCCCATACCTGTCTGAAGGTCAAGGCCGCTAAGAAGTAGTGAAAATAAACCATTTTTATCACATGCCGAATATGTACTTTAAAAGCGCCAATAATGTATACTATGCACCATTTAACGAAGCAAATAAATAAAGAAGTACAACTTACCGGTCGATGCTTGAGACTGACTGAGAAGGTTTTCCCTGAAAAGGCTATCTTTTCAACATTCTCCCTGGAGGCAAGAAACATTGTGATATCTCCGGACATTTCTTTTTATATTAACGGGAAAAATTATGTTCTTCGTGAACTCTATACATAAACAAACATAAAAAAGTGATTTGACTGCTTGGCGAAATAATTTACCATACGTAGAGAAAAATTCTCCGCGCATCTCGAAACACACAAAGTCCCTGAGCAGATACACCGATTCGTAGCTTCGTTCGGCTCCGATCCTATCAACGAGTAAAAAAGGCTTGCTGCAGAAAAATCTTTCATTTAATACAGGAAATTCAACAATAAAGCTAACGCAGGAAACGATACTCGCCCTAGGCTTGAAATGCAAGACAGTGATAGTAAAGGTGTTAGTAATTTGATCCTACAGGTAGGAATTTGTGGGTTAGCTCCTTTTTGTAGTAAGTATATGTGCTCTGAAGGTGTAAAGAAGCAAATTTGTACATGAATCATAACTTCTTTTAAAATCTGGCGCTTGTAAAAGGAACCATTAAAAAGCATGCCTCTTCGAGGCCTTCAAGACGGCATTGAGCTACTGGCGCATTTTCATAATTTCCCAAATTTGAGCAAGGGACTAAAATCATGTTTTGATCAAAAGATAAAGGGATTCTTCATTTTCAATGCTTTTTAGGTAAATCATGCAATAATTCAAATTAAGGTCACCATGTACTTTACCATCAATGACTCAAGGATAATTCAAAACACTTTGGCAAGTAAGCTGAGTAAAATGATAGCACCAAGCACAACCTTCAAACTGCAAAATTTCTGGAACATTAAAGTCATCGGAACGTGGGTCTTTGGGAAAAATTGGTCTCGTTTGAGAAATAGTGGGATGTGGAAGTTGTTGTGCCATCAAAAAGTACCGTAATGAACAGCGGTGTTCAGGGCAAACCAGGATTTTTGGATTTAGAAAAACTAAAAAGAACAGAATTGATAGCACACTTATCACACTTTTTTTGGCATAGAAAGGCGTGTCCACACGGGTTGACCAACATGAGATAGCTTGCTCCACTTCGTCGTCGTTAAACCTAGTGCCCAGTTTGGGGTTGCTTATCGAAACTGAAGAAGTTCATGAATGATCGTGGTCATTATCTCCACGATAGCATACACGGAGACGAGAAGAGTTCCACCTATCGGTCGCATATTCAAAGGATCATCTGTTGGAAACGTTAGGAACCACCACAGGCGGGCGTGTCACCGATGGAAGCGTGGCTATCCTTAAAATAGTCATGACATTCATTCAAGTGCCTTGCTGTGGCACAGTTTGAAGTCTTTCGTGAATACAAGTAGATATCTAAAGTTCTTCGTTTTGCCATTTTGGTTCAGCACCCAACACGAGTTGTTGCACACATGTATCCACCAGCAGCTGGACTAACTCCAAAACACGTGTGTCGGCTATCACCAATGCATGTGGTACCGCCACACTAGCACACATTCTGCAATTGTAAATTCAAAGGTCGCCTATTTAAATTTTCGCGAAAGATTAGAAGAAATCCTTTGGGTTCGCGCGTCACGAAATCTATTCCCTTGAGAAGTGGCCTCTTAAGGCCATCCGCTTAGTTTAATTGAACCCTCGGATTGCTGTACCAAATACCGTATCGCCATTTTAATTGACTGGTCTTATTCGGCCACCGGATTTCATTGTCTTTCAGATCAAGAATCCAAGTTCCCAGCTTCCCAGTTCGCACAAAAAAGGAATTTGACTCAATACGTCCTTTGAACTCAGCCAATTATGGAGTAGCAAGGTCAAGAAAATCCGCCAGATCAAAGGGTAAAAAAAATCAGTACTTACTGTCACCTCTTGTGGGTGAATGCCGTAGAGCTCAAGACGCCTTGCCATGTAGAGGTACTTTAACTCCGCCGAGGCAGGAACGTAAGAGCTACATGAAAAAAGTTAAAAAACTAAACGAGAACAGGATCCTCGATGGAAATGAATGAGTAGTTAAAGATAAATGAGTAGTTACTACTAGAGCAACCAATCATTGAGGTAATTACTCAATTAATAATCCTACCAGTACATTACGACTGAAGCAATGTTGTGGATATGCACCACTTGAATGCTGACACATTATTGAGACCCTAATAGGAAGGAGCATAAGTTTTGTATTTAAAGTCATTATTTTCCTCACTCTTACCGGAAAGACTTATGAGCTTCAGCGGCTTCAGCTTCGAAACCGGACGTTTGGTTTGGCACCAGACGAATGTGACTCACGTAGCCCGGTTTGCAGTCCTCTGTGGAATAGTCGCCGAGTTCACCTGGATTTTTGACAAGTCAAGGTTATTGCATAAGACCCTATTAATCTTTCATAAAAGTTCAGCATGCGTTGCTCCTGTATCGTTAAATTTGAACGAGAAACAAGAATTAGGCGACCACATTTCCCACATTTTATCATAACACGGAAGAAGCTCGTTAAAACCCGTGGAGATTCTCGTGAAGGTCGATAAAAAGGAGTTGAATGTTAGCTTCGGTGGAGGAGAAAAATCGGGCAATTATGCTCAAGTCACCCATTTATGATTAAACCGGCCAGGTAAACCATCTGTGTATTTATGTCTTACCTGCTGACAGTTCTGCGGTCTCTAGATGACATGACGCTAAGCAGGTAAATAAGAAACCTCCTGTCTGGCGATTTGTCGGATGCCTTGTAACCTCCCAAATACTCCTCACTCTACTACTAAATAATTTCTAGCTCCACCGATTACAAAGGAGGCTATACTACACTACCGTCATAAGTAGGTGCTTGAGTAAATGAAATACAAGGGTCAAAGGTCAAGTCAAGGGATTAGACTTGAAAATCTGGTACTTTATCCTCATTATCCATAAGGAAGTACTCCATTAAATTATCACCTGACCTTCTTGCAGGCATTTGAAGCTAGCTACAGGAATGGGGAGGCGCCGAGGTATAATATAGCTAGACATGACAACACTTTCAGAAGTCGCCAATAGGCATAGGTGAGGTCACAACTGCATGCAAATCGCGTGAAAGTAGTCGAGTAGTCATGTGAGTTAAATGCCAATTCACAATCGACTCCTTTTTTTCCAGTAGAGAAAAAAAAATCGAAAACAAAGAAAAATCATTTGTCAATCGCCCTTTTATGGGCACTTTTTGTGCGTCGCAAATAAGACAGTAAAACGAGTTTGCTCACTTTGAAGACAGAGACCAGCCATTTTAGCCAAAATGGGAGTCGGTGCAACCAAACTGCCATTGAGCACATCCTTTCGAACTTGAAGGTAAACCAGATACCTAGGAAGGATCAAATTTTCGCACTACATACAAATCGAGAGAATAACTTTCGGTTTTTCACTTACTAACACTGTCTTGTGAAATGGTGTGCGTTTAAATACACTCCTATCTACTGGACTCTTGAGTCTTCGCAGGCCATGACTACTAACTCTTCAACCCGTCTATACATTATTAACAAACTTCCCTCTAAACTACTACGTCTCCAAAAGCAATTTGGAACATTTCATTGGTGGCAGTGGTAGGCCAGTTCGACCTAAACGTCAGTGAAGGCAGATACCTCCTGTAGATGGCTGAATTCACGAGGACGATGGAAAGGTTAAAGCAAATTCTTTGACTTGGCGAGGCCCAAAATTATGAGCTTAGGGGGTGAGGATTCAAAGAAGCGCATTTGACCTGCGATAAGTGCTCACACTATGCCCCCTGAACACGGAGTCGGCGAATAGCGTACGCCTCTCAATCATTTTTCTGTCAGGCGAATGACACTACAAGAGGTTGGTGGGTGAAATAGGCTAGCTGTAGAATATCCTCCAACCGCTTCCCAAATCCTCCTCCCTCCTCCTGATATGTTTCGCTCCGAAGATGACGCGATGTTCAGGGATCTGAAATGAATCGGAGACGGGCAGTACCACTGACACACTGCCACGTTTAAATGTGATTTGTCGAATTTTCTGCTTCTCTCTTGGTGTCGCATCTGCCGTCTCTCTCTTCCATACTGCTGTGCCTTATCACATCATCATGGATAAATAAGAAACCTCATTTAAAACGCTAGAATAGCATGAAGAAGGTATGATTTAGGAGCATCAAGTGTAGCTGTAACACTTCTACTCACACATGAAATTAGCATATATCATCTAGGTGCCAATTTTTATGCAGGTAGTGTACCAATAACCCTCACTACTACCAATCCGCATGTCAAAAAGATTGGTCAATAAACATAATCAAGAGGATTGTCCTTAAAGTTCACTACTGTCCAGAATATAGCAATGTGTACCTCTGGGTTGGGGTTGTACTTTTCATGTTTGTTTTGTGCAAAAAAATACCTTTTCTACGAATAAAGAAGAGCCTGTTCTAATGTCTGTGAAGGGACCAATAATATCCTCCGCTAATTGAGATACCTCGTGAATTCTTCTTGAAGCCAAAGCGGGTCAGGAACGTAGAATTTCACCCGAAGCCACAACGTATGCGTAACCGTACCTGCGGAAAGGAGGATCCAACTGGCATTAAATAATTGTATTCAAAGGGGCAGCGGTACACTCAAATTAACCGACCAATTCAAAATGGAAGAGACAACTTTTGATGCAAAAACTGGATTTATATATTCGTGCTATTTCGGCTAACCTCGAGAATTAACTACCAAAATAGGTTTTACTGGGCCATTCTATTCCCATTTTGAAAGAGGGTGGGAGAGGGAGAGAAGGAGGAAGGTCATTAAGGACTAGATAGATTGATGATGGATGGATAGATAGAGAGGTAGGCAGATAGGTGGATAAATGGGGAGATGGATGGATGAATGGAAAGACAGGTAGAATGTAAAACGGACAGTTGGGAAACAATAGCGATGTAGAAACGAGGGTAGTTTGCACCACATTTTTGGACTTTAATAGAGTTCGCTAGCTGTTGTCCCAGTGAAAAGGATGGTAGTTTGCAATAATGAACATATTTAATCACAATAATTCATTTGATTACATTTTACTGACGTCCGCACGGAGCATTACCATTATTAAGGCGCATTTTGAGCATTATAAGGAACTGGAGCTTAACCATAAAACGGCACATGGCTGACACACTGCTGTTTGTTAAGGTCATTAAGTGGCTTCTCGTCGAGACTATTTTAGAACTATGCTGGTGAGGTAAGTGTCTCAAAATGTTGTACGATTTATGACCAGCAGCCATGAGCCAATTCAGTCGAAACGTTTAAGTCCATTTAGTTGCCAAGTTAGTGAGCCAATTATTTAGTTAAGAGATAGGATGCTCCAGACTCGGTAGGAATGTGTATTTAATCCGCAGCCCCCATCTTGTCAGGCGGTCTGTTTCAAGGTCCATAGCTTCATAAATAAACTCACTGAAGGGGTCTCTACTTCAGAGGAGAGGCGATCGCTGAGGCAAATTAGATATTTTAATCCTCAAGGTTGAAAATAATTGCCAGTAAACTCTTTGAACAATTTCATCCGCTGCTTAAAAGCTAAAAATGGTTGTCTGCATCCTCCTTAGGACTAAGCACATCTTACACCTATTTATTGTTCCAAACCCAATCTAGCTGTTTGCAACAGATCGCATGAGCTGAGAGCAAAATGTCGTATTTGAAAATGGGAGCATATCACGCTGGTAGCGAGTGTATTTCTTCTCTGTTCGTCAACTTAAGTGGGCTCCGTTAGCGATACTTTATTTAACAATGCCAACATACTAAAAGGTGAATGAATGCATATTTGGATCGTTATTTATGTATGGTAGTTGTAGCCCTTGCCACCTTACCCTTCCACATTATTTCAAATCATTTCCCCATAATTAGGGGCAATAGGGTTGTGAGAGACATAAACGTATACGATCGGTTAGTTCACTGCCTAATCAGTCCACCGTATCCAGAGCTGGCTGCTGTGTACACCACCACATCCATGAGTGATTATGCAAAGGTGGGTGAGTAACCACAACGGTTCAAGTGTTAGTGGACGACTACAACAACGTAGTGCGCAATCACAGTGGCATACTTCTCTCTCTGACTATAAATGTGTCTGTGTGTGTGGTGTGGGCTGGTGATTTGGCACAGTCCCGTTGCGTGTAATTGCTAGGCGCATGTGCTCATGCAACCCGTTTAATACTCTGCGTACATAAATATCTCTCTGTCTATGGAACGGCCACTCTCTCTAAATAATGCCGGCAGTTTTATTGCTTAATATAACAGGAATGTGTACTTTTCCCGTAGCTATGCGCTACCTAAATACTAAGATGGGCATGGGACAGTAAAATTGTCCCCTACTAAAACAATTATGGCATGAAAGTCAACACTCAGGCCCATTTGCATAATGTGAGCCTGTATATGAACTAATGCCTCAAAAAATATCTTGAAGGAAAAAAGGCGCAATTACCTTTTAATTGCTTTTTCAGGGTCTTCGTGGGATCCAGCCACCGCTAAAATGTAAATAATAGGTGGGGTTATGCAATATGACCTTTAAAGCTCCGTTGCTGTTTGAATAAGCCTACCAAGATAGGACCGGGATTGCAATTAAAGTCATTGTATTGCAGGCCGAAGAAGTCACGTTCAAGGAGTTCAAGGAAATCAAAGACTAGATCGATGAGTACCTGGCCTCGAACATTCTTCTGAAGCACACAAAAAGGTAGTAGACAGATACGTGTGTCGGCTACATTTGTTATTCCACCAGAAAGATGCAGGCGTGTAAAAGGAAAAAGTCTTAAGATATGCGAACTTGAGGTCTGTTGGGTTTGACTCATCGCTGTGACTTTGCCACTCATGACAAAGTCATACCAGCCTATTCAATGAGGTGGATTGATGAAAAAGCATGCAGCCGTGGAATAAATCGGCCTTCTAAACATATACAAAAGAAACCAACGTACGTCGAGCTTAAAAAGTTCTGACTTGTCGTCCAAGAAGATGACATTGCACGTGATTGGTTTGAAGGGCAACCGGTAAGTAGGGTTTTCCGCTGCCGAAACACTGTAGCTCCCTTTCAGTCGTAGAGTCATTTCAGGATAATCGCATGGTTTCGTGCAATCGGAATAATTATAAGATGCCTTGAATAAAAATTTTTACCTATAAATGTAAAAGTCCGGGTAATTACCAACTGAATGAAATGGCATAAGAAGAAATTGCCTAGAAGTGGAAGTAAAACTATGAAGCGAAAATAATTGCAAACAAGAAGCAAAGTAGGTGGAATATAATGGAGTTGTAAGAGATCCCCAGATTTATGCACATGAGTTGCAGGAATTAAATGAGTATGAAACTTAAATCGAGTAAACACTAGAAACTGTGGATTATCAGTGAGGATTAATTACCTGAGTAATTTATCACCGATATTGTGTAAAAATGAATCAAGCAGCTGGTTATTCAAACTGCCCATTCAAGTTAACTAAATCACTCACAAAACAAACTACAGGATCAAATACGCAATAAATACACAATATAGAAGTAGATAAGAGGAAAATTTCCCATGCACGCACAAAATTAGAAGATCAAGTTAACGTGAAGTAGAATTTAATTTGGTTTGCACTTGATCAGTTACTACTTATTTAAAAAAACGCAGTGGGCCTTCCATATAAATTGCAAAAAATCCAAAATATTGCCAACTTTTGCCCAAATAATTAAAAGAAGAGGTAGAACCGAGGCACAGGCTGTATAAAATTCACAACGGAAAACACGATTTGTTTTCACAAGGACTGTACAGAAATGGATAAGAACAAGCCTTAAATCAGTAAAATGCAACTTAAGGTTACTTTAAAGAAGGTTTTGGGAAATGGAATTCACCAAATTCATCTTTGGTAGGACTGAATTATATTCAAGTAAAATTCATCAGACATAGCAAGAGAATAAATAGTCAGGTAAGACTAGATTTATTTGCATGTGCTTATCTATGACTTAAAGTGCAGATAAAACAAGGCCACAGACATTGCTATTTAATTGTAAATTATTTAGAAATTCATACAAGCCGAAAAATAACAGAAGTAGGATAGACAAAATAATACGGTAGATATATGAAGTGTCATACAGTCATAAATAACAACATTCCCTCGGATCGACCATTATACATGTTCAAAGTTAAACTGACCCACAGCGCAGAGTAACTATCGCCGAACAGCAAATTTAAAAGTGTTACTGTTTACATACGACAGCTAAAATACTATCAGCTGCAACCAATGTAAGTTAGTGCAGGATAAAACAAAGTTCATTTAACAATGGAGAGAAAGAAAGTGTACTTTTATTAGCAAAGCAAATAGAAAGTAAGAAAGGAGATCGACAAAACTAAGAAATTTAGTATTTTTAAGGCGAGAAAATAAATTAACAATAATAGGGAAATCAGTCAAAAAATGCTGCAACAATTGCATCATTTTTACTGCCAACACTTTTAGTTAGACCTTGGCATTCTTAAATATTTTGATTTCAAACAATTTGGCCGAATACAATATTAATCCAGAAATATCCTCCTAGAAATGGATAAAGGTTTCCATTAAGCCTGCAAATACACTTGTCTTTGCACATTAAGTCAATTTGGTACCGACGGAGCAAATAATTTCATTTCAAATCTAATTCTGTAACCTAGTATTCTAACAAACTTTGTTAAGCATATTAATTGTCAATGCATTAAGTACCTAGACTATCAACTCGAGCACTGCTGAACAACCGTACTCTTACTGAGATGGATTATGAACTAGTGACGTTTTGTAATTTATCCCTTTTTGTTTAGCAATATCTTTGAGCGACTGAGCATAATTTCACAAAATAGATTTGAGGTACTTGTGGACGGTGAGACTTACTGCCTTTGCTGATTTGGTAGTGCAACCTACTTGGCGTCAAATTACTCGTCCTTGAGACCTCCTTTTGTTTAGATCATCTGCAGGCTCACATGATAATTAAAGGCTGCTGGGTTTATTCCTGGTAAACGATGAAGATGTACTTTAAAAATGTATTTTTTGTGCTATCGGCAACGGTATCAACAGTGGGCTATTTCGGTGCAAAGCGCCTTCTTTGTTCCACGGTATTGTGGCAAACTGATCAATGGGGTTGTGTAAGTGTACTCTTAGAATGAATCTTCCCTCTGATAGAATTCTTCGAAGTATGACCAACACTTCCGACTCTTTGCTTCACGTGAATATTGTGGCGTTTTGTATATGACGCCGAATGATTTTCTACAATCCCTGTTTCAGGAAAAACCCCCTAGTATATTTCATCTTAAATGATATCAATATTTATAGCGAGTCAATTGAACTCTCTTTCGCCTGATGAGGTGAAGACAATATTGCAGAAAGCTGGACACTGCGGGTCAAAAAATCTTTTTCGTAAGCTTGGAAATCAGGGACTTATTTCCTTTACGGACTACTTGTTTTTGCTGGGATTGCTCAATAGTAGAATGAGATAAAATAACTGCTTTTTAACTAGAGCCGAGTTCTAGATATGAAGTTGCTTTTGATATTCTTGATACTGACTACAGTGGAGCAATTGATGCTAATGAATTTTCTATGGTACGTTCGATTATCGCTAATTTGCATTTGAATTAGCTTTATGGAGTCTCCGCTGGTGCACCTGATCAAATGCAATTAACTCACGATCGCTTGTCTTTAGTATGCTCTGTTCTTTCTGAAGTGCCTTTAAAAGTACCCTCAGGGCAATCTTTCTGATCAATCTACTCTTATGCGAGTTTTTTTTGGAAAGGATGGAAAACAATTGCTAAAGAAGGAGGATTTCTACAAGTATAATATCATTCGACTTTTCCTTCTTGTAGATTTATCGAAAATTTTCAAAATGAAATCCTCGAGGCCGAGTTTACTCTTTCCTCTCCAAATGGTGCAACCATCTCTCCCACTAATTTTGCTCGGGTGCTACTGCACAACACTGACCTTCCCGAATCGAGATATGATGAATTCCTATCGAGGTTACGTCGACTTCCAGCAAATGTGGAGGTTTAGTTACTTCAGATAAAATCGATACGTTGCAGATCACCCTTGAGGATTTCAAAAGGTTTTACAAATTCGTCAATCACCTTGATGACTTCCAAATGGCCATGAAGATGTATATGCTAGCCAATAGGCCTATTTCTCTTAGTATGAAATTAAACTTTAACTACCCTTTATTTAAGCTGAATTTAAGCGGGCCATTCGAGCTTGTGTGAACCTCGAGATTGGGGAACAGGCTTTACAAACCCTCTTCTGTATGTTCGATGCAGACGGAGATGGTCATATGAGTCCACAGGAGTTCATGGTTTTACTCAGAAACAGGCGACCTCGAGGAATCCACAAAGTGAGTTCTTTCTATGCAGTTTGTGTCTTTAAAAGTTCCGCCTCCGTTGGTGATTGCTTGATTTAATTTATGGACCCATCGGTCGCAATGTTCACATCAAAGTAGGGATCCCATTGATTAGCGTAAAGTTAAGCACCATACACTAATTTTTCCTCCATCCTCTATGTACTTCCAAGTGCTACGGTGGTTTTGCTCGATTTTAGAATGCCGATTTCAATCGAGGGATTTGGAAAGACTACAAAAAGTGCTTGAGTCGAGCCATACGTGAACAATAAGCTCCATTTGTTTTTCTTCTAAATCAGTCCTTTGTACTGATCTACCCGGGTTATCCTCTGCTATAACTTATCTGTGATATTTATTTTCACTAAATATAACCGTTGTTCTGAAGGAAAGAGCTTTACTAGAGTCAGAGAATGAAAATTGCCTGTATTCGCAATGTGGGTTGATTATAAACTCAGAGCTGGATATAGTCTTAGCAGATAACTTACCTATTCTGTCTAGACCTTGAAAATTCGTTTGTCTTTTTGATCCTATAATGCAAAGCTTCATTTTTTTAAATCAGTAAAGAATGGAATGATGATGTAATAAGTTATTAGCCGTATTATCCAGGGTTCCCACCCCAATTGAGTTGCTTTCATTAGAAAAGATTGGAAGCAAAAGGAACTTTTTCATACATTTAACTTTACTTACGTTGCTTAAGGTTGAGGTATGTTCGTCTGGGTCAGTAAGCTTCATCTGATATTATAAAGGTCGAACAAGCGTTCTCACTCCTGGTTACGCACAGATTTGCCCTTCGCCCATGTGCCGTAACCTTGCGACGATGTCATGCTTAGCTCCTCCTCCTCTCGGGAGGGGAAATAAAGTCAGTGGGTTTCCTTATCGTTTAGTTAAAATATGCTTGCCTCCTTGTTTATGGCGCTAGAGATGAGTGGGAGAAATAGCTAGAGCATATCGAAGAGTGAGTGAATGTGTATCTTCACATTAGGGATGTGTTAAAAGGTAGGAAAAAAGGCCTTACAAAGGTGATCGAGGAGTGAGCAACACAAAGTAGCAGCCGCTCGTTTCCAGGTAAAACAGGAGCCGTTGATTGTCTGTTCTTTGTGATCAGGATGCACTAAAAATGTGAGACGCTTAAAATTAATAAGTAGGGAATGGTGATATGTGAAGAGTTTATGGGGAAAGCACTCCGCTGCAAATTGAGCCAGAAAACTTATAGGGTTTTTGTAAACAAGATCGACCTCCATCCAGGGCTCTGAAGCTGCTGGCAAACAGAAACATGGTTATTTCGGTTAAAGAAAGAACCCTTTTTAAAAAAATACATTATAGTTAATAGAACCGATGATTATTTAGATTTATCACTCAACCTTGTAATCAAGATGGTCTGTTCTGTTTCACTGAAGAGATAAATGAATGTTCTGGGTTAGACACAGATCTGATCCCACCGCCATGCTTAATCCGAGGCTGAAATAGCTGCCACAAGTCAAAGCCGTTTTTAAGATGCATAATCGCAGATTCAGCACACCTGCCTTGAACTTTGCACATGATGAAAAAGTAGTGAAAG